GTCCCGCTTCTCCCCAGCCCCGCTGGGCCGGCCCGGTCTCGGGGGAGGCACTGGGGCAGGAGGAGCCTCCTCGGGCGCTGCCACGAGGGCGGGGAAGGGCCGCGGGGTCTGGCGGGCCGGGAAGGGCCTGTCTGCCCTGCAGGAACGGGCCGAGGGTTTCCTCTGTGCGTGTTTTGTTTTTATCGTGTCTTAACTTTGTGTTCCTGGCGCTGTTCTGAGAGGGCAGAGCTCCTGCGGACAGGACTGCTCCTCCCTTGCTGCCTGGCTGCAGAGCGCGGTGCGGCTCTGAGGTGCGAGGTGCCCACCTGCTGGTTGCAGGCTCCTCTCGCCTCCCCGCGCCTGGAGTTCTGTGGGATGGATGAATTAATTAATGTTTTTGGGGTGATAAAGCCTGGCTGGTGAAAGGTGTGATTCCTCTGAACTGCAGGTCCCTCACAACTCCAACCAGGTCATGTCCTGTAGTGCGTCGTAATAGAATTCCAAGTCTCTTGATGATCTCAAATCCCAATTATAAGTATCCAGGTGGCTTGTTTGAACAGATAAAGGCATCCCAAAAGTTGCAAACACTGCATTTGTATACACTTACACATACTTCGTATGTTATGTTTTCCATCTTTTCCTCATTTTGGCTATGACTAGGTTGGGAGAACTACCTCATTTTTCAGTGGTTTCATCAACAAGGCTTAAGCACCTTCAGGTTGGGGGTGTCTTAGTTTTAAGGTGTCCCTGAGTGTTAATGAGGGTTGGAAGGGGAACAATTTTATATTGGTTGGCTTAAATTTTTTCCACTGAGGGTTCTGAACTTTCATTTGGAAACTCTGGGAGTTCATGTAGCAAGGAGGGTTCTACACTACTTGAGTATATTAATCCCTGGGTTCTGAAATAGAGCAAGCTCTGGAGTGAAGATGACTGAAATCATCATCCACATGTCAAAATAAATTCTGAGTGTCAGTTCAGAGTTCAGGGTCTGAGCCCCCTTCCTTACACTGTTGTCAATTGAACCATTAGAGCTGCATGGTAAGAAAAAAAGAAGCATTTTCTTGCCTCAGTTACTCTGTGTTGCTTTTGAACTGTATGCAGGCAAAATCTGTGCTGTCAGAGCTCTGCCTGTGCATCTCTGCCAGTGTGAGCATGTCATACAGGACATCCTAGGAAAACTGAAATGTTGCAAGTGTGAAATGAATTGCGTGTGGAATGTGGAAGGTAAAAGCAGAGGCAGTTGCACTAAAATCTATTTCTATCTGGAGTGTCTGGTGACAGCGTTTGTTATAACCTTGTCCTCTGGGAGTGAATCCTCTGTTCTGGTAGCACAGACAATTGTGGTATGCAAAGCCCTGATCAGAAATATGTGTCTGACAGGCAGACTTCACTCTTTGAAGGGATGAGGAACAAGCTCTTGAGTTGCTCTGTGGGCAGTGGTTGAAACAGGTACCCCTGAAAATGGTCCAGTAATGAGGCAACGCTACTACACTTCATGGCTATGATACAGAGTAGCTAATAGATCTTAATTTTTTTCCTTGGAGCTTTGGGATCAGGAGGAGGTGTTGAATATGACAGTTGCAAAGTAGGATCTCACGTTCCTTAATAGCAAATAATGCACCATTTTTCTGTGTTGCTATCACACACCTAAAGTGGTCTTATCTGGAAGTAAACCATGTTTCAGCTGATCTTATACTCAGAAATTGCAATACGAACTCCTCAAGTGCTAAGTAATCATGAAGTTGGGCTCTGAAAATTCTACTAGCAAAGTTTTGGTGGTAATAACATTTCTAACTGCTGTTGTCTGCCATCTGCTTTTGTGCCTTGAGGCTCTGCTTTCAAGCTTTTGTCTGTAATTGTAAAAGGTGTAAACTTTGTTCTCTTATCTTAACAAAAGCTACGATTCTCTTCTAATATCTTTTCTCCAACAGCTGGCCTTTGGTTACAGCACCAGTATCATAAGGCAGTTGGTATAATAATCATTTTAGCATAAGCTGAGAATGTTGATAGCTGCATATGTTGCAAAGGTATAAGTTCATTGCTGATGAATCTAACAGAAGAAGGAAATTTTAATTTTAGTATTAAATCTCAGAATCTGTAAAGCTGGCAGGGGAGGAACCCTGACCTCGTTTGATTAGCAAAATCATGAAGGGTGGTGTGGGAAGGAGTAGAAGCCACATAGAACTAATTTTTTGCTATCAGTGCCTATATTTGTGTCTTGATCACTGGTCTGGACTCCAGTTTTCTGCAGTTCCTGTGGTTTTATTTTCTGCTTTGCTCATCTTTCTAATGAAATCTTCATTGTGCAAATTTTAAAATAGTGCTCCTCACTTCTGTTGCCTTGTTAGGCACTGCCAGTTTTCCTTTGCTCATTAACTGTTCAGGTTTGATTTTAAAGACCAAGATTTTTTTATTTGGTTGGTTGTTCTGGAGAGGAAGGATCCTGGAAGTTTTCCATTCCACTTCTTCCTCTGCACTCTACCTGTAGACAGTCTGTAAAAGCTAAGCAAGAGGGAAAACATAGCAGCCTGTGTCTGGGATCATGGAATGTGCCTCGGGGAAGGGACATGCAGACAAGATGGATACTTTTGTTAGCAAAAATAATTTAAAGAAACACTAAACTTTATTTTCATTATATAGTGATAATTTCTAATGCTTAAAAATATATGTTGCTTTTTTATCTGAATACTGCCTCAAGGAACATAGCAGTCTGCATTCTGGTTTGTAGGCTTGTCACTGCTAATAAGGATGAGGGGGGTGGGGAAGAAAGTTAGGTCTGTGTAAGACGTCTTATTTAAATAATTTACCTCTAGTTGCTAGTGTGATGTTTGTGAAGGAAAAAACCAACACGGATACACAAAACTTCTAGAATACTTCAATGGATGCTTTCACAGCATATGCTATGACTAGCAGGTGGTATAACGTTTTTATTTCTTTACAAAGGCTTGAATTAATTCAAAGACGTGCATATTGCCTGTGTTTTTAAATTAATCTCTCTGTATGATCAAAACCTCAGTTATTCAGTGTTTTGATTTGTGGCAGTTCAAAAAGTAGTGTTGCAAATAGTCTTGCAAATAAATCTGATGTAAACTTCATGTTTGCTAAATACTTGATGTTTTAGTAGGATGTCTATTGCAAGGTTCTTCCTGAAAATCCTATAAGGAAGGTAGGAAATTTGACTTGAAAATGTCAGCCTTATTTAAAATAAAGAAAAACTGTTTCCCAAAGGCAAAATAAGCATGTAGAGGAAAGGTATGGTTTTAAGACATTCTATGGAAAGAAAGGGAATGAACTCGAACTGTCAAGGAAGTGAATCTTCTTGGCATATAGTAGGATGACAAAGGAAAACTCTCCTTTTCCATTGAAGCTAAAAATTATGCCTCTTAGTAATTCACTCACCTTTTAAAAAAATTATTTCATTCATTTTTTAATGATTTTTTTCTTAGGGTGAAAAATTTGGTCCCTTTGCAGGGGAGAAGCGAATGCCACAGGAGCTGGATGAGGACACAGATTGCAGGCTCATGTGGGAAGTGAGTATTCTAAAGGACACCATTACACCTGACAAAAAGTATTCTCAGGATGAACTTTTTACTGTAGCAAATAAATCCTGGGGTGTGTGGTTTGGTTTTTTTGGGTCTCCCCCTAGATTAAAAATACTATAGGGAGATTTTTTACTTATTAATTTTTTCAAAATACACTTTTGGGGCAGAGGGTGATTGACTTAACATCAAGCAAAACATAAAAAAATAACATTGTGAAAAATTACTGAAACATGAAAATAATAATAACAAAGATTAAAGGTATTTGAATATGGGAAGATGATTGTAAGTTACTGAGATAGTGATTTATGCTGAGCAACAGATACCAGCTCAAATCTTCCTCCAATTGTGATATAAAACATTTCCTGCTTTGACACTTGTGCTAGGGTTTGGCAATTGTATGGTAAGTTTGTACATTTTAGCAACTTTGTAATGCAGTGTGTGACTGTGAGATGTTTATAAAAAAATAAAAGCCCGATGCTGTGAGCAGATGAAAGCATAACAAGTTTCAAGAGTCTTCTAAACTTTTTAATATGTATTAGGCAGCAAGAGTAGTTTATACGCTAGGCGTTGTAATTAGGTCCTTAACACACCCTAGCTCCTGTCATACCTGTGTTTGCTTGTGGCAGAAATCTGAGTTTACCAGCTCAGGAGAATACACTGACTGAAAAATACTTGCAATCACAACATTTCCACCTTGGTACCTGCTTTTTAGTATCTCTGTTCCGTCTTTGTAATCTTCTCTGCTGTAGTTCTGTGAGCAGAATTCCTTCCCTTTTTTTTTTTTTTTCCCCCCAGGCCAAGCCCTTTCTATTCTATTCTATTCTATTAGTTCTCTTTTACACTGAGAAGGAGACTAATTTCCTACTTTTCCACCTTTCTCTGGTTAAAGGTGGAAGAATGACTGTTATCTTGATGTCGTGTGGCCCTGAACAAAAAAAGCTTATGTTTGATGTCTGTCTTAAAGCACTGCCTGTCCATTTGTTACAAAATAAATGTTTGTTTGAAAAACCTCCAGTATTAACATTGCTGAGCGGCTTATAAACAGAGCTTAGTGTTGATACAGTCTGAGTAGGGCTATAAATGGATTCTACACACTGGAACAATGAGTGAGGGAATGCTAAAAGCCCATCTCATTATAAATTCAGTGAGTGGCAAAGTATTCCTAGGTGAGTGTTGACTCAAGTCTGAATCCCTGTGCCCTTTCCCAGAGAAAAGAGGTGTGAACTACTTATTCTCCTCTCTCCTTTGGTTATGTGCTGAAAGCAGCTGATTTCATCATCTTTGTTCTCAGCTGAAAACTAAACAATATAATGTGCTTTTAATACCAAGGTTTGCTGAACACCGTACTTACCTGTTCATGATGTTTCTGCAGATTCTTTTAAATCAATACAATATTTGAGCTAGAACAAAGTTTTCAGAAGGGATGGTGGGTGGATTATAACAATGAGAAGGTCTTTAAGTTTGTTGGAAAGCCATACAATTTTCCAGATTCCTCATTGCTGATGATTAAATGAGATTTATCTGTTTTTGTAAGACTGAAAATAGAAGGCGAATACTATGTGTTTACTGATGACACTAATATGACCCCATTGACAGCAAATCAGAAAATGAATTTTTTATGAGCTGTTCTAAAACCATTTAATAAGATCTTATTGTAACCTGGTTTTGAGAGCCTTGAAAAAATGCTGCATACCAAATTTTATGACTTCCTGAGTACTCGAACCCAAGTTGTTCATGTTTACTGAAGCTGATCTGAATGTGAGCTTTATAATATAATTTAAGTCATGCTGAGAGCAGTCTTAAGTTGAAAATAGAGACCAGGAATGCAGAAAGTAAAGTTGAACAGTCCAAGTAGATGGTTATTCCAGAGACTGTGGGAGGCAGCCACAGCAGCTAGCCAAGTTTGTGCACAGTCAGCTGTACTGAAGATACTAAAAAGAATTCATCTGAAGACTACTGGATGAAGATACACTAAAGCCTGACCTCACAGTCTGATGGCAGTCAAAAAAAAAGCATTTTCAGAGAGGACACATTCAGAAAGAAGGTTAAGTAGTAGGGGCATTATATGTCAAGTAAAAATGAACATGAGTTGAGCATTTCTTTTCTGGTATGTGATGCCTGGGATCTGAGTTGCAGCTTTGTGGAATAGTTAGTTTTCTGTGAGGAAGCTTACCACATGCATTTCTAGTTGCATAGAGTCATGGCCTGTGATGTGGTCTGTTTTGATCAAGCTATTCCTTTTTCTCTGAGATCAGCATTGTGACTTGACATCTTTAAGATGTCATTTTGAAATAGAATTACACACATTATGTTTTCTTTTTGTCCTTGGGGAAACATGGAACTCAAAATTTTTTTTTTGTCCAGTGATTTTGTTAAATAAAGTTCAGAGGATGTTAAGAGTTTAATTTAAATATAGCAGAATGCTGTAAGTCAGCCTGTAACTTTCATAGTTATAATAATAAAAAGCCAAGACAACGCTGAAATGGCCTTGTGCTTCCCCCAGCACCCCCACCCCTTCTATCAAAAAAGCCCACTTCCCCATTATCCCTTAGCCCCCATATCAGTATCTCTCAGACTGAATTGCATGTTGTGCTAGTTAAGTATGCAGCTAGTTGCTGGTGATGAATTGAGAATTTTGTTCTTATTCCTAGCATCCAACTAACACCTTGATTAAATACTGCTTGTTGGTCTGTATTAGTATACTTGCCATAGAAATTTTAAATTTTATGTATTTGCTGGAACAGCAAGTGCTCTAAAGCAAGAATGGAATAATCTTTAGGTATTGAAGTTCACAGAAGTTTTTGCTTCTGAAGGCTTAGATGTCTCTTTGCAAAGGGAGGATTTCTGTTCACTTTATTTTCTTTATTGTCCTTAACCAGGGAAATGGCATTCATTTCACTCCAATTGGATTGTGGCAAGCATATACTTCTGATGATGATCTTGGCAAGTGTTATAACAGGGAGGGCTGGGAAGACTTAGTTCTTCCTCAAATACTCTTGACATACTGTGAAGAAATGTTGGTCAGGATTGGATGGCACATTATACTCTGTGTAATGCTGAATGTTACATATTTCAGGTTTGGTTTCTGTCTGTCTGCCAAGATGAAGTTTGCTTCATTGTTATATTTAAACAGAGAAGAACATGCTAGAAATCAATCTTTCAATGGAAGTTGGTGTTCTTGTTTATGCATATGGGAAAATGAAATCAACTTAGGTTTCTACTGCTTAACTCATCATTTTTGCAGTGGCAGTTGTTTTCAGTTAAATAAGCGTGCCTGAAAACTAGTGAAGGCAACAGAAAATCTGCTGCTACAACTAGTTTAGATCAGAGCTTTAATGTTCAGTATGGAGATATGAGAAGTCAAGCACTTTAATCTAATGGTGGTGTGTGTTTTGGTGAGTTTTTCTTTGATATCTTGCCTGTAAAACGTGGTTCTGGCATAGCAAGGCTTTCACATACAAGGCATTAAGTTGAACTGTGTTCTAAGTTTCATGAAAAAATTAATCTTAATTTGAAGAATTCTGTGTTTGCTCTCAAGATGAACCTAGTATTAAAAATCTAGTCCTTAGCAAGGTGGTCTGTTTTTTCTGTATGAAGACTACTATTCAGTCATTACACCTCAAATAGTATTTGCATATAAAATGTATTGCTTTTCTTTTTTATATGAGTCTTTGTTTAATTCTCATTTTTTCCCGTCATTTATTAGTACAATACATTTTTAGATGTTAGACAGATACATTTTTACATAAGTTGCATTTAAAAGAACTTTTGTCACATGTAACAGTCAGTGATGCCCTATATATCAGTTGCAAGTTTGAGTCCTGTATTTTAGATTTTGTTAAATTAATCCCCACTGGAATAGATAGGTCTCCGAAATAGTTATTAATATTCTTACCAGTTTGTTTATGTAGGTAATTTAATTAATATGCTCTTTTAAAGTTTGTTTAAGTAATATTTGTTCATGTTAAGTGTATGACTTTGTTTTAATTTTAGTAACGGTTGAAACAGGCACCTTAATGTTTTGGCAATGAGAAGAATCTGCTCCTGAAAGTGACTGAGAATGTTAGCCTCACACCTTCAGTTCATTTAGTGGATTTATTTAAGATGTTAAAAAATAAGTCAGTAGACTGAGGTGCTAATATTGTAATCTGAACTTGTTATAGAGGATCACATGCAATTTTCTTAAGGAGATGTGGGTATCATTCCAGTGAGCATGACGTTCAACCCTTCTTGTGAAAGGTCAATGAAATGTTAGCAGAAGTCTAGGAATGAGCTTTATGAACCACTCTGTCTCTGACAAGGTCAAATAACATCATGCAGCAGCAAGAGCTTCATTAACATGAAAAACATCTCTGTATTTTGGCTTAAGAAGAGTGTAACTGCCCAGTACTTGTTAGTAAGCAAATCTAACAGTTGCTGCCTCAGATTTCCTTTGCAAGTATAATTTTAATGCTTTTTGCAACATTGTGTTAATGTCAGTTTCTACTCTGCAGTGAGCTCTCTGATGGAGGTCTCAAACAGAGGATGTAGAAGCATTGCATCTAGCTGTTTTATACTATTAACAATAAAAATCATGTTTTCAGCTAATAAAAAAATGCAATGCAGAAAACAGTACTTTACATGATTTTTTGAATGAACAGAGATTTTTATATCTACAAATGTTCAGAAAATTGTTTCCAGAAAGCAAATGGTGTGTTTACTGCCTTCAGCAAAGATAACCATCTGCTTTTCTTGCCAGGTATGCATAGTATAGCATTTACAATTGTACTCACAAACATTTTGAAGTAGCATACATGACAACTTTGGATGTATTTTTAAAATCTGGAGATAATTTCATTGCAGCATAAAAGGCTTGCAAACAGAGTAGGGCGTGCTCTGATGGGCATTACAAGTAGCTTAGACTTTGTTTAGGCCTGTGTAGGATTTCATGTGGTGCCTTATACAATGACTGAGGGCATATAGTATTTTTCCTTATACTTGTACAGTGA